TAAGTTTGGCCCAGCTTGAAAAATAATGGACAAACTTAGTAGTAGAACAGAGAACTGTCATATTGGTCAAATACGAGAGTTGATTTCTCCGTTGTGAGATTAATAAAGTTTTTTTATTAGCTGGGTATCTTTGCACTCAAGTACAAACTCTTGTTGGGAGACATAGTGACTCTTATGTTACAGAAAATGTCAAAACAAATGACAACTAGTTAAATAAATTTCTGAATTAAATTAACAGTCCATGGTGTCTTGAGGTCAGAACAGTCCAAAAGCCTCAAGTCAAAAACTTCGGAAACAAAAGTATCATACTTATGGGAGTCTGACTTGCATATAGCATGACTGTACATTTAACTGTTTATATTTTTTTAATTCACTCTTAATTTCATAAGATCTTAAATTAGTCAGCTTTTTTGTCAATTTCTGCTAAACATACAGGACATTTTAAGGAAATGAAGCTTAAGCGAAAATTCAATATGGAAGACTTTTATCAGCTCCAGCCAATCAACTTGGGGGCTCAACTCTCCAAAACCAATCAGCATTCAAGATCCTTTGATTTAGCTCCTGGACTAGCTTCTCTCTGCCGCACACAAGCCAACTTTCAGTCCCACTTACCCTCTGGCTTTTCCATCAACAGCATCCGGGCCCGTGGAGAAGACTGCTCTAATCTGTACGTTGATTTAATGCATCAAAGTCTTTGGCCGGGGCCTGGGCGCCAAAGAACTTGTTTAATTGCTTTCTTTATCTGCTTCTGTCTCCTTGAACCCAAGTCGGCCTCAGCAGATGGCCACTCATACTGACTCTGATTCTGCTGGAGGTTTCTTCCTGTTAAAAGAGTGTTTTTCTCTCTACTGTCGCTACATGCATGCTCAGCACAAGGGATTGCAGAGACTCAATGAGTCCTCCCAATCAGCTGATTTTCCTTAGAAAGAAATATCTTGAAGAATGTGATTGTCTTACCTGTATAAATAAATGGAATATTTTCTAATTGTAGCTTTTCTTTGTGTGAGCCTCTCAGGTTAAATTGAAATTCTCAAATTCTTGGTCTCCTGACAACACAAGTAACAGCTAAAAAGTTAAAGAGAGAACAGTAAACCATAATCTATGATAATATCTAACGCATAATATTACAGGATATACACTACCATGTGGAAATAAGGAAAGGACTTAGATATTAACTAATAATTACTTTTTAAAAAGCATGGTATGTCTGAGACGGTGCAGTGCAACATTTTAGCAGATTGTGCAATTAGGCTGTTTGTAAACAGTGCAAACAGATAATAATAGGCAACTGTCTATTTAGAATGTCAAATATTTAGAAAGCTGCACATATTTTAGTTAACACTATAAGAATCTTTGAGAAGTGACAGAGAAACGAACTACAGTATGTCTGTAATTAAATTTCAAACATTATTAGGGAAGGACATTTATTTTCCATTTCCCGTTGTGAATACAGTATTTGCCAATTCATTAAATTATAATGTGTTTTTTTTATACATTGCAATAGACTTTCATTACAATAATGTTTTTATTCAAGTTAAACAGTGTATTTTTTATTTCAATCAGATGTTTAGTTTTTGCCAAAATGTGTTCCAAAGAACACCTCAAATTAAAGTCTCTTTTGGATTGTTGCTTCAGTGGGATAACACCCATTATATTTTTGAATTGCATGCCTTTGACTTTTTTTTTTTTTGAGGAACTAGCCATTTTATAAACTTCACGAAATGTTTTCCTTATAAATATTTTGTTAATTTTTAATAAAATGTGATTCAGTAGTGTTTTGGGCAGATTATTTTTTGCTTTTGAGTTGCCTAATGTTCATAGTTTTGTAACAGATTCAATAAAGCTGATGGTATTGCTTTACAAACCTTGTTGTCCTTTAATGGACACTGAATATTGAATTTAATTTTAAAATGTTCTAATCTAGTAACTTTTGCTTAAATATGTGATACATTAGTTTCCCTTCTTATAGAAAATTTGAACGTACAGTATAGGTTTTCTATTGACTGTAATGACTCAATTGCTCCACAAGGTGAAGCCATACAACAACAAAAAAATTGCTGATGATATTCAGACATGTTGACTAAGTCACACTAAAAGAAGTTTGAAACCTCCCACTTTATTTAAATTGTTTTTAGGTTTTACCCGGTTAACTGTAAAAAAAAAAAAAAAAAAACAACAACAGATTCAAAATTAATTATTTATAGCCCCTTTATTATATTCCTTATCAAGCTGCCATTTTCTTTTTAACATATTTATTTTGACAGATACTGATTGCTTTTTTGTTATGTTGACTAACATGTAAAGAATAATTGGGGTTCACCAATTTAGATAAACCTGCAAATTTTTACATATTACTCAGCTACTTCCCAGAATAAGTAAGTCTCTTGTCAACCAGTAATTGAAAGTTTTTGTTATTTCTTCAAGTCTTTTCAACATATTTTTCTTCAACTTGTATGGATATTGCAATATGGATAGCATTTAATTCAGCTTTTGTCAAAAATCAATAGTAAATCTGTACCACTTGCGGTCAACAACTTTATTGTGCAGAAAAATGTGTGCTTCAAGGCTAGATAAAGAAAAAAACAACATTGTTGAGCTGCAGTTCTAATCTAAAACAAAATTCCCAGCATCTGGTTGATGATGTAACAAGGCTGGTATTTCAGGTTAGTTGCAGGAATGTTTATCAAGTTATATTTCATGTGCTGTTGGGTGTAGCAATTATATTTATGTCCATTAAAGAGTGCTCATGCACTTAGTAAATTAGCAGTGCAGTAATATAAATTATATGGTATGTTTAAGGAAAGTAATAAAATGTGATGAAAGGAGTTCAATAACTATACATAGTAGACGCACTGTAATAAGACTCAAGGTTTATATATAGTAATAATTTGAGGTAAAGTGGTTAAAGCCAGCATACATGTTGTATTTCTAATATTTGTTCTGTATAGTTCACAGCTCTTAATTAGAGACACCATCTTTTCATTCGGGGATGCCATTGTAACCTTTTTAGCTTGGTTCTTCTTTACACATCCTGACTTCTCCGTAAATGCCTCACCCTCTTAAAAGACTTAGTTCAAATTAAACCGTGGTACCCTGATGGATTTTTTTTTAGCTTTCTTTGTGAAGGTAAAGGTATAGTGGAAATGTTGTTTTCCAGGTGGATCATCTAAATAAGGGGTCCTCCTTAGTGTCAATCATTCTGGTGATATGTTTACCTAAGGCCGTCCTCCGTGCTCATCCACATTTTCACTTACTTGGTGAGGCTGACATAGTGGAAAAATTGCAAATCTTCTTTTGGAGATTAAGCTTGTATGAGTTATGCAAACAGCAACTTTTAAACAGAGCGTGCACGAAGAGAATTGAGGTTGTGCACGCTCTCACATGCCTTTAATAAGTGTTCCATCTGGAGGCGGGCACAGGGTTGTTCCACTGATCTCTATTTATTCACTGGATTACTGATTGGCAGAAAAAAGTGAAGCCACCGTCTACCATATTGGTACTTCCCACTCCCACTTAGACATGCAGTAAAAACGCCTACATGCTTAGCTTTTGGCTGCAAAAAGAAGCCGTTTGCCGGCTGTGGGAAGACGTTCCACAGGTAATTTTACAGTCACTGGATGTCCTAACCAAAAAAATACACATATATGCCAATGTATCCTATAGTATAGAATGTAGCATAACATTAGTCTGGCTATCTTGGACTAACTCAAAGTCATTGACTAAATTAGCCAATGCCATTGTTTGTAACGTATGAAAATAGAAAGTAGAGTGAATAGAAAGAAATTCACTGTGAAATGTCAATTTAGTAATTCTTTATTAAGTGGATAACGCTGTCGTTTTTGAAATATACTGCATGTTATATTGACAGAAATAAATTAACTCAAACTTTTGACCACTATATATATATATATATATATATATATATATATATATATATATCCATCCAGTATCTGACACGCTTGTCCCGAGTTGGGTCGCAAGTAGTCAATAGGTGAGAGGCGGGTTACACCCTGGACAGGTCACCAGTCCATTGCATTATATATATATATATATATATATATATAAAATGCATTACATACATGTAAGATGTAATTACATGTACATCATCAATTTAGCACTTTTGACAAATCTGTATTATTATGCTACATTAACACGTTAATTTTATTGTGATGGATTTGTATAATATGTTATATTACATGATTTAGAGACTTCATTGACTTCATAATGTCTTTGCAAGGTGATATACCTGTAGCGGCCAATTAGTTTTTGTTAATTATTAACAAAGTTTCTTATTTTTGTGGATAATCTAGCTAAGTCTATTCTACTTTATTATTTGATATCTTTTATAAGATTATGTTTTTTGGTTATTTAGTTATGATCCTTTGTTTCTGGTTAGTTATGATTCATTTGGGTGAGTTATTTTTATGAATAGGCTGTCACTGATAGGACCAGCATGCATCTGGGTGGGCGTATGTTTTTTTGTTGTTTTTTTTACCCTAAATATGACCTTAATGTGTACATTTATAAAATTTTCTGATATTTTTTAGTTTAAAGAAAACATTTTTTTTCAGCAAACAAAACACCTTCGACAGCAACGTTTTACAGTAATTACCGTAACATGTTTATAGATGCGCTATAAAATATTCAAGTGACGGTTGCAGTGATTTTATGCCACCGCCAGGGTTCGCCAGAGGGTAAACAAAAATGTTTCCTGGCTAGAAGTGCAACACTAAAAACGGAAAGACTCGACCTTTTCACAAGAAGGCGGAGCGAAGATCGAGGCTAATGTTACCCAAGTGCTTCCTGAGGTTGGACTTGTTTTTGTGGGTTTTCCCTTTAAAAGGGCAGCGGCACATTCTTTAATCCCACTCTCCCCACTGTTTATACGTGAAAAGCAACAATGACACAAGCAAAAGTTTAAGGTAATATCAGTTTAATTCATGTCTTTTTTTTTGTAAAAAAATGGAAAAGTTACAGGACAACGATATAAGTGAGCAACTTATGCATATTGCTTGTATGAATGATTTGACATAAGCATACAACAATGTGTATTTAACACAATGTACACAACATGGCTTCATTTCCAGCCTTTGGAGAGAGATTACTGGCATATCGGCAAAAGAAATAAAACACAGAGTTAGTGGCAATAAGAAAAAACTTCACAGGGGTCATGCCCATGTTATCCTGATAATCATAACCAGATCATTTACATTTCTCAAACATGAATGTGCAGTTTTCTAAAAACCATGTAAATTGCATTATGGTGAAATTTTACATTCAGGTTTCAGTCTAATTCTTTTTCCTCCCTCGAACCACAACTTCCCTTGTTTTGGTTTCCTATCCATTCTGCACATAAAGGCTGTTTTATTTGCTTTAAAGCCGTGCACTCAGAGTGGTTTTAAGGAAACCTGGCGGCTAAAGTTTAACCGCTGGATCAGTCTCTAAGGAAAATGCGAACCAGCCAAGACAGCATGCTTTCATTAACGTTACAGTCTTTCCACTTTTATGGTTAACATCACAGACTGTGGACACTTCCACTTAAGGCAGTGAAGCAAACCATGTAAATGAGTGCTTTGGTAAACACGATATGCATGCAACAACTCGAGTTCACAACTTTATTTTTCAAACCAGAATAGCAGAACCACATCCTCATGAAGTTAAATGGAACCAAATTTAAATAATAGCTTCAGATAAATGCTGGAACTAAGATGTCTGAATTCATAGCAAGAATCTTTTCCTAAACAGTAGCTAACCTAACAATGCAATATTGGCCGGATTAAACATTTATTCCCAACATTAGAGTGTAACGTGCATTTACAGGACAATAATCTAATTAAACAGGTAGATATTGTTAGTAGTTCTATAAACACTGGTTCATAGCTAAACTAAAATGATTTATAAAACACTGAGTAACAACGTAGTGAGCCGATGTAAACTGCTGTTGAAATAAAAGAAAAACATTGTTAATACATTTACATCCATGAGATTATTGCACTTTAACTATGTTGATTATGAATTCCTCATGAGCAAGGTTACAAAAAAAGGCAATAACAATGAAGAGCACAGATAGATGTGGCAGGAATTTGAAATATCATAAAATACATTTAATAGTATTTGAGTTAGGCATAAAATCATATCAGGCAGCTCAGATTTCCACACACAATCATTCTAGAAGGTTGTTAGCTATTATTTACTTTTATGCATCTATAAATCAAGAAAGTATTTTTGAAGAATGAATGTAATAAACAAAGATACAGATGCTGGATAATAGGAGTGGACTCTTTCATTAGTTTTTCCTCAGTTATGAAAACACGGAGCTACGTTGGTTAGCCTCTCCGACTTTCTCAAAGAACATGAAGTCCTGTAGGTCACAATCAAGAACAAAACAAAACAAAACAAAACATTAGGTAATATCTCAAGATAGAAACCAAACTACGTCACTAAAATTAAGGAACTTACGATGAGGAAGCAAGCGCCCATGAGTACGGCCTTCATCTTTACATCTAAATCCATGGGAAACTGAATGCCGAAGTTGTCGGTGTCTGTGAAGACTTCTTTCAACAGGCCACTCCACTGCTTACTGATCCGACCAATCGTCTGTTCGCCATCTTTCCCCTTCAGCTATACAGCAAAACAGAAGTTCCACAGATACTGATATTACCCTGCTGCAACTAGGGGGTTGAAGCACCAAATTCAAATGAGAAACTATGGAAAATTATCAAAATATTGGTCAATGAATGTTTAGATTACTGTTTATATTCTATGATCAGGCAAGTAAAAATAATAGGAAAACAACAACAGGGCATAAGTGTTCTAGATAAATTATTTATGGCAATCTATGACTAAAATTCCCTCAAGGGGTTATTTATTACATTTAAGACAGCATTTGTGTAGGAAGCTCTTAAAAGAGGGGAAAGTACTGGGCCTAGAAGGCATCTTTTAGGGAAACCAAAGAAAAAACCTTGTTCGGATCTGTTAAAAACAATATGAATATATATGCAATCCATTTTTTTCTAATTATACTTCCCCAGAGCGAGATTAAAGCCCCATTGACACTACCCTCTGAAAACCGATCTGTGCAGAGTTTCAGACCGAGCTTCGATCAGTTAACTGATCCGAGCTGGATTCCTCAAGAATGTTTACACAAGCTAGAACGGTTCCTCGCCTCCAAGTGACCATCTACAGTACTACTGCTCTCTAGAGGAAAAACAAGCAAATCAACATGGCGAGGCCCATAACATTCAGAAAGTTTGGTTATAATTGTGATATTTCATTGTTTACAGAGAGTCAGGTGAAGAACGAAGACTTTGGTGAATTTACTTGACAGAGTCAGCTTTTGGGAAGTGGATACCACAAACGATAGTCTAATCAGGGCTTACAGACACAGGAAACAATGACAGACGTTGAGGTTCATCACACTGCTAAGCAGAATCATCACTGGAAATCGTGTGGCAAGGTAGGGAAGCTAGTATTTCTATGAATGTCTGAAATCTCATGATTACAGAGGCTGACTGTAAGGAGATGACACAATCTGCTCATGCGCTCTTTGTTATCTTAGAACTGGGCCAGAACTGAACTATGCCGAGACCTACTGATGAACTAGTACCAGTTTAGCGCTGTGCGTTTGTGTCTGCCTAGGTCAATTTCAGTTTTTTGTGCCATTTACACTCAACAGTTATCTCAGTTACCATGCTCGGACAGATCTCAGCATGGTTTAAAAAGGGTAGTGTAAATGGGGCTTTACTGTCTGTGGTTCAGATCGTCTCCGTCTCTGCCTAATGCTCACTCTATGGGTACCTCTGGGTTTCCGCTGCAGGTGGTAGACCCAGTAGGGGATGGCCTTGCATCTCTCTTTCAGGCTCGGCCTGGCCAGCTCCTGCAAGGAGGAACCTGACCAACAGCTGCTCGCCAACAAAACCCAAACATGGCTTGAAGGTGGGGTCCCAGCTCCACCCTACCAGGCAGCAGTACGTACCTATTGTAGTCATCATGAGGGGATTATAAAAGGTCTTTCAGCAACCGTTTGAATCCTGACAATATCTTGAATGATTTTCAGAAAGACTATTGGTTGACCTCAAAGTGGTTCTGGCAAACTGTAAGCCACCACTGGAAGGAGAAGCAGTGCTTCACTTACAGTATTTTCAGTGGGAGCGTAGAGTTGCTTATTTTGACTGAGGACATTGTCAGACAGTGGGAATAATACCTTGAGGACCTCCATAATCTAGCTGACATGCCTTCCCTGGTAGAAGCAGAGACCGGGTGCTCTAAGCCAGACTCATCACTCAGGCTGAAATCACAGAGGGGTAAAAAAAACTCCACAATGGCAAGGCTTCAGGGGTAAATGAGATTCACCCAGAGTACTTTAGAGCTCTGGATTTTCGTGGTTGAATAGCCTCTTAGTCAGACTTGGCCCTGGGGTTGGACTCCAGCAGGGCTGCCTTCTGTCACTGGTCCTGTTCATAATTTTAACAAACAGGATTTCTAGGTGCTACCAAAGACCAGGGGTGGTCTGGTTTGGGGACCAATGGATTTTGTTACTGCTTGGCCATGGTTCTCTACCGGAAAAAGGTGGCTTCTCCTCTTCAGGTAGCAGGGGTTCTTTTCCTCAATTGGAGGAGCTCAAGTATCTTTGGGTCATGTTCATGCGAGAGGGGAAAATGGTGTGAGAGACCGATAGACTGATTGGTGCCGCTGCTGCGTCCAATTTCTTAGAGAAAGGGTGAGGAGCTTGGTCATTCGGGAGAGGCTAAGAATAGAGCTGCTTTTCCTCCACATCAAGGGAACATCTTTTTCGGATGTCCCCTGGATGCCTCCCTTGGGCGTTGTTCCAGTCACATTCCACCAGGAGCAGGCCTTGAGGATGACCCAAGACATAATGGAGGGACTATGTCTCTTGGCCAGCCTGGGAGTGCCTCTGTCTTTTCTAAGAGAAGCTGGAGGAAGTGTCAAGGAGACAGAGGTCTCGGAGCTCCCACTGGGTCTGCTGCCTTAGCAACCAGATTACAGATAAGCAGAAGAAGAGGAATAAGTGTTTGTTTTCTATGTTACTATGAATTTCACTTAATTCCAGTGTTGTAGAAACAGGCAGATTATTCTTAGACCTGGAGATTAATTTAATTTCCAATGTAGAGGAACAGCACCCAAATCCCTGCTCTGTCACATTTTACTGATACTTTGTCTTTGTAAAGACAAAAAAAAAAATCCATGTGAAAGATAGAAGAAAACACAAAGCCCAAACGACTAACTACTAGCCTGAGCTCACCTCAAAGTTAACATCTCCACAGCAGTTGCAGGCGAAGCAGGGCCCCTCCAGTTTCATCAGAGTCTGTCCTTCTGCTCCCTGGATGGAGAACTTGGGCAAGAAAGGGTGCCAGTCCTGTTTGACGAACCCTATGGTGGTTCCTGGTGGAGCCTGGACCTCCATCTGGGAGGGGTCAAACACACATTTTAACCCCAAACAGAATTAGTCACTTTGGCACAGATGATTATAAATAAAAACATCACAATGTCACAAAGCTTCTCACAAAGGGGAGCAGGAATGCTAATTGAAGCTGTTACTTTACCATCGTGACACACAGAGATAATAAATCTCACATGGCTCCTGCCTGAAGAGTGAACAGAGAACTGTTGTGTGTGCGAGGGTATTAGCTTGGGATCCAGCTAGTGAGAACGGCGAGCTAACAACACGATTAAATGAGGGAAAGATAGCTGAGGAAGGAGGAATGACAAGGAGACAGTTTGGACACACAATAGGTCTATTGAGGTTAGAAAGCCACCTCTGACTCAGCAGACTGGACACAAGATGAGAGATGCAAGTTTGATTACATCTAGACATGCAAACATAGTTTGATCAGTCAAACCAGGATTTTTAAGATGAAACATGAAAGTGCAAAAATATGTCCAGTTAATAGTTATTTGACACACAAGATCAAATCGTCATTAAACGCCACACTGGTATTGCTGATGACTGAATACATTAGAGTACCAATAATGAGGAGGAAGAGAAGCTACAACCTAAAACTGAACACCAAAACAACAATAGAACAGAATAGAACATCTTATTTTCCCCGTGAGGGGAAAAGGATATGCCCCAACAGCAAAGTGAAACCATCTGATTGGAAACCGACATCGGAAATCAGTCAAATATCAGCAAAAAAAGAAATATCTAAATATATCCACCTGCATCTAAAATATCAGATACAACCACACTAATAGACACACTATCAGTTATGGAGTTATGATTTTATATAGCATTTATCATTTTGTCTAGGCACTAGAATCATCTTGCATATGATGAGGGTATGCAATAGTAATTAGGGAAGTCATTATGCATCTTTTTTTATTTCAGATAAGTTTCATATATTACAGCTTTGAGTATTCTCCGACTGTGATATTGACCCAATACCTATCAATCATACATACATTCATACTAAAGGCTTTATTGATTTTACTCAGAGGACAAGAACTGACCATCTTATTAATCTAGGAAATTGGAGAGAAAATGGCGCTCCCATATGCCTACGGGAATCCTACATAGTCTGGAAAAATAGTTTACTGCTGTATAAGAGGACCCTAAGTAAAGCAAGAGCAACAGAATTCTCCTCATTTATAGGGGAGAATAAGAATAATCCAAGATATCTTTATAATATAGTTGCCAATCTAACAGAAGTTATTGTCTTTGGACCAGAGTTTTAAAAAAAGAAGCTGATTAGTCAGTCAATTCATTTGGATGGGATTAAATTGATCTCAGAAAATAAAGTAAAAAATATTATAATGTTATTTTTGATCAGGATCTGTCATTTGGTTTTGTTTGGTAATAGTATATCCTTTAAATGAGCATGTACGATTGATCTTAAAAACTAATTTAACTGATACAGGGGGAAAATATGATGGGTTAAAAAAAAAAAAGAAGAAGCTGTTGGTAATGGGCTAAATGAATGTGCTCACCCATGATGTGAAAAGTTGTTGAACTACATTTTAATTTAATTTCAGCATTCATGCTTTCTGTGGTTGGAGTCAAGCGGCACCTCAGCACATTTACCATATCGCCCCATATTGCTTTGCAAAAGTTCCCCAAATATCTCAAAAGTGTGAATCTCTATTGCAGAGCCTTCTTTAGATGTCCAGATATAGCTGTAGACCCTGGGCTGGTCTTTCAAGCACAAACTTTAAGATCTAGGGTCAGAACTGAACTATATCTAAAATAGTGCATTATTTCATTCATCATGTCAAAAAGCTAAATTCCATCTAAAGAAAAAAACAAAATAACCATGAACCTTTTTTCACCATGTTCTACTGCAAAAATATGTGTTCTATGATCGAAGTGCAGCAGACAAGCATCAATGAAACCATCCAAAAAACAGGAGTCGCGCCTCTTTTAACTCTACTTCTACGACCAGTTAAATATACATACATATATATAAACAAAATCAATACTAACATTGGTTATCAGCCTCATTAATTGGGTCATTATTAGTGGTTATATATTAGTGGTTTCACTGCATTTATGTTCCTTTAGTTTTCAGAAGAGGCCTATAGGGCAATTTAAAATACCCAACTTTGCTGTTGAATTTCTTTTAGAAGACAAAAACTGTAGCCAGTCTTTTTCAGCCAGCTGTTTGTAAATGCACAGCAACAGATGGGGGAGGAGAAGCTGCAGAGACATCTCTTTAAACTCCAATGCTCTCTGTATTAATAGACACTCATGGTGTGCTATAAACCTTTCCATAGGAACAATACAGAACTACAGTATATAGCTTAAATTATTATGACATGAGTCAAACAGACAACAGAAATATTTAGAACAGACCTCCTGCAGACAGCAAGGACACCAGCAGGAGACACATCGGAAAGGCCGGATGAGACGGATGACCTCCCTGTCCATGTTGTCCTTGATCTTCATGTCGAAGCTGCGCAAAGAACCGCAGCAGTTTCTGGTGCAGCAGTCGTTCTTTTCTTTGGCTTTGTAGATCTTTTGGCCCAGACTGTTCTTTATCTCATACTGGTTGTTTGTCTCAAAACCAATGATGGCTGCAGGGCAGTAAAGAATAGAGATAGTTAAATATTGACGCAGCTTAACATTAATCAGTTCTTAAAGCTGACACACACAAATTAATTTACATCCTTTACATAGAATAGTTTGTTGCAGTATCATGACTCTCAATGAAAAATACTGAAAGATCCTGCTTTAGTTTGAATTCATTGCAAATTAATACTGATATTAACCAAATTCAGCTGCTTCCAAATCGTTGGTGCCATTAAGAATTTGTATTAAAAATACTTTTGTTTTGTCTTTAATTGATTCTTTACGCATTCAAGTTAACTGTGTTTATTGGGTCTAGCAGTTAAACGGGTTCTAATAAACCCATTTCAGTTTAATCATCCAAACTAAAATAATTCTGTTCAGATGCTTACTGAGCTGAAGTATTTTAGTCCTAATTAAATTAGGAGAGGTATGACTGCTATTGCAGGAGAGTCGGTGCTGCAGTTCTCATAAATCTGTAGAAGTAGATATTCCAGTGTGTTTTGCAAGATATTGCAACATCTAGCACCTGGCTGCAGTACGTGTTCACTTGTGAGCGAACACATACGTTGTGTGTGCATGTGTGCACGTCATCCAGTGATAGAGAGACCACATATTTACAGCGACAGGCAGTACATTGTGTTGAAAAAAGGAAATTAAATTGATATTTTCCCAGCTAATAGAAGAACTTATCTAAATAGCATTATTCTTAACTTTCAAAATTATTGGCGCATCATTTAACTTCTGCTAAATAAAGTTTCAGCAGCATAAATCCGCTAATGAAATTCACAAGTTTGTGCCTTTTGGTCGTGGGTATGTCTAAAAGAGTATGACTCGCATTTGGGTTACATGTGGTAAGACACTGTGCAACACAGCAGCTGCAAGCTAAAAACACACTATTGGTTTACTTGTTTAAACTTAAATGTAAAGGACCATTCTAGTAGGAGCTTTTTGGAAGGGATAAAATTACAAAATAAAATACAAAGAAATAAAACACATAATTCATCTGAGCTAACATTTGTGAGTCTGTGCCCACCAATAATCATTAAAAGGTATAGTCGCGGATTTTCGCGAATTTTTTAAAAGACCCGCCGTCTCCACAAAAAAATAAAGCACATGTACAACCCTTTACAATCCTCGTGCACGCTCCGTTTAAAAGTTGCAGTTTGCATGGTTCATACAAACGTACTTTTCTAAAGAAGATTTGCAATTTTTGCACTATGTCAGCCTCACCAGCGGTAAGTCAAAAAGGGGACGAGCATGTAGGACGGCCTTAAGTAAACATATAACCAGAATGATTGACAATTAGGAGGAACACTTATTTAGATGATCCACCCGGAAAAAGAACATCCTCCACTATACCTTTAATTTCATCGTCTAAGGTGGCAGTGGGGGTTGTAGAAGAGACAGGCTACTCCTCCAAATGTATTGAAAGCAGTAGATTTAACATTTAACGATCTTGTCTTTCTGCCATAACGATCAAATGTAATTATTTTTTGAAACCTTTTTGCTCAAATTTTTATGCAGTAAAGTTGGCAACCTGACTGATAAAAACCCAAGTACAGTGAAGAGAATGGGAATTTAAACAAACATATGGAGTTTAATAAATGTGGCTGTACTATGCATATTGTACGATTTTCGATGGCACACCTCTGGAAATGGTTCCTAATAGTTTTCTAGAGAATAATGATCCAAATATAATTGGTTCCAATCAAAACAAAACAATTTCATTCCGAGAAAAAATAAATAAACTAGCTTCTTTTTTGAGACATCTCAGTCCCCAGGCTAAATCCTGTAGAAAACCTTTGAATTCTCCCCCCATACATTAAACGCATTCAAATTAAAGGTTTAGATTTCTACATATTTTTAGTGCGAATCTAAGCTAGTGCAACAAAACATTTTTTTCTTACGCATCTTTAAATTGGGAGATAATGTATGCAGTTAAAGTCTGAGGGATTTACCTTCAAGGAGCTCAACTTTTTGGTGGATCAGGATCTGGTCAATCTTAAACAACAAAAAAAGCAGATCAAGAACAGACACTCTGCATCTATGCATCCCATTTCCTTCTTCAAACAAATGAAAAACATTGCAACACATTTAAAATATTTTCATTAGGAAGTAATATATATCAATAACATTTGCTTAGAGAAAGAACAAACACCACAAAGTAAGGAAGTAAGTGCAGACTATCTCTAAATATATCAGCCAAGCACACAGCTTCATGCCTGAGAAAACTGTAAAAAATTACACAGAGAAAAACTGCTGACTTACTCATTTTATGTGAACATTGTTTCAAAAGTTCAAAAGGCTAAAAGGATAAAGTTCATTTCTAATTTTAAAATCAAGACATCTGACTTTAAAAGGCCACAGCTGGACTTTTTCTAAGCTTTTAGTAACTTCAGTTTAAGCTCATTGGAAGTTAAAATAATAAAATGCATCTTGGTGAATATTTTAAAAGTGTTTAAACCTTATATGAATCACTGGAAACTTGGACAGACACCCAATACAATAAGGCTTTTCAATGTTTCATCCAACTAGACTTTAAGATGTTTTTTTAACAATTGAAGGGAAGTAAGCAAGTGTTTTTCCAACCAAGAGGGAGGCCCCGCAGATTCTGACAACTTTCAGAACACCATTCATATATTTTTTATTCAAAATGATTGTATTTTCTTTTAATTTTAAGTTGCATTCATGTATAAGATATGTTCTCCTACTCTGACCTACCTGTGTCAGGTACTCCAGCCCAGGTGGGACACCCACAGGAACCGACGCTGGAGCTGGAGCGATCGCCATTGACTGGCCGCCATAACCCGGTGCTTGACCTGGAACTGGGCCCGGTTGGTACATAACAGGAGGCTGGTCCTGGTGGTAGCCAACATTGAAGCCTGGTTGAGGTGCATAGCTTGGGTCTCCATAGCCCCCTGCTGGAACTGGATAAGGTGGTGCACCTGGGCCGCCGGGTTGAGGGTAAGGAGGATTGGGAGAGCCTGGATACCCTATAGGGAAATACAGAAATACATTAGCTTCAACAATTCAAAACGGAATTTACCAACTTTCGTGATAATTTTATATATTGGATATACTGCACGTTTTCCAAAAGAATTAAAAACAATCCACTGGAGTTGGTTTCCAAGTTTAAAGACGTTCGCTTCCCATCCAGGAAGCTTTTTCAATTCAAAATGTCAGGAATGGCGTTGAGTTTGAGGTTTTATACAGTAGCCCAACAAAGGATTGTTTTTGCTTTGAAAACATTTTCTATCTATGAGAAAGACTTCCTTTTTGCTATTAAACATTAAATTGTAATCCGTCTCAGAGACACTATCCCTCTCTCCATCTCCTCCTCAAACACACGCTGTCCCCCGCCCCGTCCCCCCTATGCTGTCTTCCTTTCTCTCTATCAACAAAGCTCCCCGCCTCAGCTGGCTCTCCCACTCCGCTCCATCTTTCACCCTGCACCTGCACCTCTGCCATCTTTCTGCTCCTTTGTCACTAAGCTAAAGGAAAAAAAAAAAACGCTCTTTTTCGCCCTCATGTTCCTCCGTCGTCGCACAAACTTGCCCACACTTCCTCACCACCTCGGCCGTATCTAGACCCACAGCTAGTTCTTGATTATCCCTCTTGCGTTGTGGCGTGGAATGACATAGCGCAGACAAAGCTTCAAAATTGGGCATAAATCAAAAATATCTGCGTCATACCTGCGACAAGCTCACTATGACACACTGCTGCGGGAGTATAACCAGCCCGGGCTCTGCATACTCCCACAGCAGTGTGTCGCAGTGAGCTTGCCGCAGATATTTTTTTATTTATCCCCAATGTTGAAGCGTGGTCTGCACCATGTTATTTTATGTCATATCATAACGAACATAAGGAACAATCAGAGATATGATTGTTCCTTATGTTCCTAACAGATACATTTCGCTCTAAAACTGTAGGTTTACAAGTGGTTCCTAGAATTTCTAAAAGTAGAATGGGAGGCAGATCTTTTAGTTATCAGGGTCCTGTGGAACCAAGTACCAGTTTTAGTCCGTGAGGCAGACACTGTGTCTAATTTTAAAGGTAGGCCTAAAACTTTCCTTTAAATAAGCTTATAGTTAAGAGTGGCTCAGGTTTTCCTAAGCCATCTCGATAATTATGCTGCTATAGGCTTAGACTTCTGGAGGTCATAGGGACCCCTATTTCATCATTCTATCTCTACTCTCCCATTCTACAGAATCTGTTAGTTCAATCTCTAATTTTATGCTTTCTCCAATTTTTCTCATAGTAGCTTTGCCTTGTCTGCTCCTGTTTGGCCGTTACACCATCCTGGACAGAAATATCCGCTGTACTGCTGCCATCAACAATTTTGTTTATAGATGTTGGAGGTGGGCCTGTTTTTCAGTGTACTCCTGTTTCTCTGACTCTGACTGGCTTTTACAGTTGCCCTCTGTATGTCTGCTTCTGTCTTCTTGAACCCTAGTCGGACTTGGCAGATGGCCGCTCACACTGAGCCTGGTTCTGCTGGAGGTTTCTTCCTGTTAAAAGGGAGGGTATTCCTCTCCACTGTCGCTACAAACATGCTTAGTGTGAGGGATTGCCGAAGAGTAAATGAGTCAAGGCCATCAACTGGTTTTCCTTAGATGGAAAACTTTGAATCAATTTGACTGTATGATCTGGCGAACTGTGAAGTGCCTTGAGATGACGTGTTGTGAATTGGTGCGATATAAATAAACTGAATTGAATCCCTCAAGAATTTTAGATAAGAAAGGAGGATTAGAAATAGGTCTACAATTGACCAGGTCATCTGGGTCAAGAGAAAGTTTCTTAAGTAAAGGTGTAATTACAGCTACCTTAAAAGCCTAAGGCACATATCTCTGTAACAGGAGTACATTAATCACATCTAAAATGGAGATGGAAATTAGAGGGAAGATTGGATCTAACATACAAGTTGAAGGCACAGATGAAGATAATAGTTTTAACTCAGAGTTCAATTGGATCAAAATAGTGTAAACCTGGTTCAGACTCGATATATCTTCTGTGGTTCTGCTCTCTCCGTACGAGCACCACCACAGAATGTAGGTAACACTGGTGTCTGACCTTTGCTCTGTGGTGCTGCTCAGTGAAAAGAGCCTGTGCATAAACCATAGAATGTAGATCACATATGTCAATAGTAAAAACCATTTACAGCTGATTAAAGAGAGCACATTTTTCACAATTTATATCTGAAAACAGTGAGATATTTTAACCAATCCTGGGCTTTTAAACCAGAGAGGTTGCAGCCTAATCACAAAAAGTTAACAAAGAAAACTCAAGCAAAAAATATTCTCATTCCCTAAAAACTCTATTTTCCCCCCGATAAATCCTTTTTTTTTTCCCCAGAAAAGAAGATCCCTGGTCTCCCCATGTGCAAGACAGTAACCTGTCATTTTACCACCTTTAGGTAACAATTACAACCCTCCTTTTTATTTACATCCCTATCGTACTTCCTCTTTGGATGAGTGGGAAGGCTCTTCTTCAGCTCCCAGTAATCAGATTACATCACTATTCCAATGAAAACAGCATCACGTTCATCACCCAGAAAACCTACTAGAAATGATTAGCCAAAAATCCCTTAGCCCTCCCTTGGAGCACAGCTCGTCTGCTCAAGACATAATCTTGGATAAGCAGAAAGCAGAAGTTAGATTTAAACGTTCAAATGTTCAATTTTTGACTCTTAAATACATGTGGTAAACACACCCAACTGAACCACAAGCAAATATAAAAAACAACAACATGTAATTCTATAAATACTACCAATAAGGATACACCGACCATTTTTTATTTTTATCTTTTAACATCAGGGCATTTTGCCTTTCAAATTTTTATGCAAATCTCTCTGGAACTTCAAATTATGTTGAACCAAGACTCCCATTGTGTTTTTATTGGACTCTGTTGTGTGTAGCCTCTAGACAAGACTTTTAAAGTGAATTTAAACCATATAATCACTCCAAAATCACATTATTTGAGACTTTCTGCCTTCTAGGCATCATGTCCAACTACATATGTGGTAGAACTGAAAAGAAGAAGGTCTTGAAACTACAATACAAACCACTAAAAGATCAAAGCTGCCTGTTGGTTTGTTATCTGATGATCAGATGATATGCCAAATCTGGGTATCTTTAATTTCTTATCAGTTTACAACAAGAAGGTTAATTTAAAGACTGTGTATGACGGAAGAAAGTGGTAGTGTGAGAGTACCTCTGTGCATCTGTTTAGTCTCGACTGTTTTCCTTCTCCACGATGAGAGCACAGAACTAATTACCTCCCAAGTCTCAGAGCAAACAGAGGTGTTTTGCAGGACAGGAAGTAAGCAGTTAGCTTTAAAAGCATCGTGAAGAGTCATGGTTTAAAAGTACACCCACTATTAATTAGTACAGCTTTTGCTATTAAGGAGAGTTATGGGTGTTATTACCCAATAAATATGATTTTAACCCTACTACACCATATCTTATTACTGAAAAACAAAAGGCCAAAACAGAAGTGTTATCTAAAGTGGTGACTTTTTCAGCATGTCTGTTCCTCTGTGGAGGATTTGTGGCCAATGCTTTTTTCTGTCATGGCTTCCGTGGTTAGCAGCCAAAGCACTCTTTATGCACCCCTCTGGGTCATCTTTTTTTCCTGTTCTGGCCGAGCCATTTTATTACACATAGCTACTTCAAAATTCCAGATAGTGCCTATAATCCACACCTCATAGTCAAATTGAATAAACATTACAAATGCATTCAGATCCCTGCATAGATGTAAAAGAAATAACTGTTAAAAGATGTATAAAAGAGACAACACTTCAGTGTTTTATTATTCTACATTAAATGCAGAAAACATAACTGTTTAATGCAGCTTACCTATTAAGACAAAAGAGTGCTTTAATCCACTTCTGCCTTGTCTCTGTTTTTTTAAGTGCTTAAATTAGCGTTTTAATATCCTCTGATGTAATGACTTGTGTTTTAACGGGTAATCTTTCAGTCTTTAACAGATTTTATCTCAGTTCCTTTCCTTTGTCTTTAATGGTGTCACAGATCAACTTGTCATGGCTGGCTTGAATTTACTTCGAAACACCATGCTGAAACTAAAACATAAAATAACATCTTTTCCTTCACTCAGTGACAATACCCACAACAAAGGATGACATTGTGATTTCAGAAGTGGTGGGAATACAAGCATTATTTAATATAACTAACTTCAGCGTGTTTGACCATCCAATCACGGACCCGATTCAGTGGTGCATCAGATATTTGTAAAGCGAGCTTATCAGTCAAACAAGAAAAGACGGAGGACCATTCAGGAGCTTGTGTGTGGTCTAATAAAAATGGCTTGTACTTATATAGCGCTTTTTCAAGTAAGGAGACTTGACCAAAGCGCTTTACGCTACATTTAGTCATTTACCCATTCACTCACACACTGAATCTGCTCAGGAAGGCTGGCTTCAGCTTGAGCTGGGGTTTTCTGCTTGGTCCTAGTGCTCGATTAATGTCTGTGTACTGCAGCGTAACGCATTTGGACAGTAAAATTAGCAGGGGACACTTCTGCCCCCTCTCCCCCCAAAAAAAATTACATCCATGCCCACCAATAAGGAAGAGTTGGTGTTAGCACTGATTTGTTAAATAATAATATGTATGGTCAATTTTAGGGGTCTAAATCACACCCATCATGGCAATTCGATTCAGTATCAATTTCCTGACCCAACGATTCGATTATTCTCAATACTCAAGAATTTTCCTACGCCACTTCTGTCTTGCCTACTCTTTACGCAAGCGTGTGTGAAAACATAAAGAGGGTAATGGCTAAAGGAATCGAGGTAGGAGGGCAAAATAGGTTTAGCGCCACCGCAGCACGGGAGGAAGAATTACGCCCAGGAGCAAATGGATAAAAATAGGCCAGAGGGGAAAAAAAACTAAACATGAATCGATACTCTTGAGGACGTGTCGATGCATCAGATTGTCAGCTGTTGGATCGATGCATCGATACAAAACGATTATTATTTACACCCCTAATAAATTCACAGAGTTAATCAAGAGAAAATTGTTGATGTCGGTCATCAGGGGATTTTTAAAATCTTTAGTTATTTGACCCATTTTAAAAGCTGAAAATGTTAAATGGAAGATGTTTGTGGGCGTTTTCCCAAGTTCAAATAAAGCTACAATTTCACCATATTGCAAACCGACAACAATAATAAAATATGATCAATATTCAACCAAAGGACCTTTAAAGCAATGAGCTCATCTGTTCTTTCCACAGTCTAATATAAAAGCTTACGCTGGTTAAAGAGATGGAAAGATTTTACAACTTCATGAGGTTTAGTGGAAAAAAAGTGTCTTGTACTTTGAACATCTTCACAGGTGGCACACCTGTGGTCACGCTTAACCCTGCTCTGACATTTATTTGACCCAACTCCTGATTACAAAGACTGTTTTAGACCTTTTCTGAAAGCTGTGACCAGAAAAGACCAATTTGGATGAGGTAAACTAACGGTTAAACTTTTAACAGTTGTAATTATTAACTGGCTTCAGTATCAGTAGTCAGCCTGAAAGATTGTATCTACTCCTCCTCCTCGCCCAGAATTTCTGGGTATGTGAACATGTAAATAACTAGAGGGAGATGCCCCATTAATGCTTAAATAATCATCTTTCTGCAGCCAAGTTTCTGTAAGACAACATAAATCAATGTGGTTGTCACAAATCAAGCCATCCTATTTTAAACCACATTTAATTAACTTTGAATTAGATTATCATGATTTACTCCTTTAAGAATTTTTTTCAGATTTATTTGATTTTGGTTGTGGGTAAGACAAAGTAGATGGAGTAACCAGTGGGTAACAGTTTCTGTGACCAAAAAACTGGGGAAATCACTCCAATCAACAACAACATAAAGAAAATATTAAAGCAGAATATTGATGATCCCTTTTACTTACCTTAAAACTACTAACAGTTATTGCCATGTGTGTAACAGGAAACCCATGGGTCTTTCTTATAAGTACCGTATATATTTTTTTCCGCAATTAAACAAGACTCAGCATGTTCTGACTGGTCTTTGTAAAAGGTGTGGCAAACCAGCCATAAAGCTGCCAAGTGTACCATATGGAAACAGAGATAATAAAGAAGGACGATCTGAACTACCTTTAGTATGCACTTTGCATAATATTAATAAACTACTTTGACAATTAACAGGTAACAGACGGGGAATCAAAACTAGGAATCGAACATTTTAGAACATGTTAACTATTCCAAAAGAAATGAAGGGAAAGAACTGGTTCTGACCAATTATTCAACCCTACCGTTGTCAGTTTATCTAAAAAAAATAAAAACTCAGTTATCTACAAACTCCACACATGGAGCTAAGTAATTTTTACTTATTGGAATCCAATGGATGCAAACTGCAACCAATTTAGTTTTACTTGGCTAAACTAAAGAAAATCTGAGGTCACACCATGGTTACTAACCCTTCGAAAGAGATTCCCTTTAAAGTTTCCATGACTCAGGAATTCTCCGTGTGACACATGGACTTCAGAAGACACTTTTCACCAGGGCATGGACCCTGATAAACAAAGCTTGTGCCTTGAATGGAAAAAACATTACTGGAAAAATGCAGATATGCAAAATCGAACATTACCTGACATGGATGACTGAGAATCTTCATCAGCAAAAAAAATAACAAAATTTCCATTGAAAGTTGTGCTGGTTAAGCAATGTTTTAGTTCCATGATCTCAGAAGGTGTGTCCATACAATGAGACAGGCTTTGGCTTTTAAAGGCATGCATTCACTTAGGCAAGAAGTGTGATAAAGAAAAATCAGTCATCAGAGATTAGAAAGCCACATTTGACAGAACTCATATTTTCTGCAAACCATTTTTTTAAACAATACATTACATCTTGTTTTGTATGTCCAGTCATATTTTTTTATGTTATATATTTAAAATCCTCCATCCATCCATTTTCTTACACGCTTAATCCCAAGCGGAGCCGCGAGGGGTGCTGGTGCCTATCTCCAGCTGTCTGCGGGCGAGAGGTGGGGTACACCCTGGACAGATTGCCAGTCGCAGGGCAAAACAGAGACAGACAACCAACCATTCACACATCCACTCACACCTAAGGAGAATCTAGAGACAGTCATGTTTTTGGAGGGAGGAAGCCGGAGTACCCGGAGAGAACCCACGCATGCTCAGGGAGAATGCAAACTGCATGCAGAAAGGGAATCGAACCCGGAACCTTCTTGCTGCAAGGCAGCAGTGCTACCCACTGTTCCACGATGCAGCCGTGAAAAATGAGTCATGAAAGATCAGAAAGCCACGTTTGACAAAACTCATATTTTCCACAAACCCTTTTTTTAAACAATACATCACATCTTCTTTTGTATGTCCAGTCATTTTTTTATGTTATATTTAGAACCCAACATCACCCAATGGTATTTCTGTCATAATTTAAAGGTATATTGGAGAATTTTCAGGAACTCCCGCGGGGGAATGCCTATTAAACACGTGTGCTTGCTCTTTTTAAAATTTGCTGTTTGCATCGCTCATACAAGCTTACTTTCCAAAAGAAGATTTGCAATTTTTCCACCAAGTCAGATTCCCCACCAGTAAGAGAAAATGGGGAGTAATGCAAGTAGGACGGCCTAGAGTAAACATATGCTGGTGAAGATTCTCAGTCATCCAGGTCATAGTCATTCCAAAAAAAGTAAAAAAAAAAAAGAAACAATCCACTGGACTTTGTTTCCAAGTTTGAAGACATTTTGCTTCCCATCCAGGAAGCAAGGACAAAACCCCCAAACCAAATATGAGCGGAGTGGTGTTCGGTTTCTGACTCTAGATTAAGTCCTCATGCAGATGAAGTCTTAACGAAAACCTTCCTTGACGATTACGGCTCCCATGACAACTGAGTAGCCTTGAAACAGATTATATTTTAAACCAGCTCAAATAAAGGCTATGTTTTAAGCTGCACCCCGTGGCGTCTTTGTCACATCTTTGTATGCATAACCTGCTACATTGTGGTGTGTTTGCATATGCGAGCCAACGCCAGAAAAAAAAACATCCCCTGATTTCATTGTTGCTGTTCTGTTTTCTAATCTATATTTTAAAAGCTTTTGAATTTATTGTGGATTTTACACTCGCTACTTGGGCTGGGCGATATGGACTTAAAATCTTATCATGATATTAGGTGATAATGATAAAACACTCTCTTCATTACTTCTTTGAAGACATTCTTTGGGATCTGGCTGTGACTGCAGCAACAGCAATCCTAGCCCCACAATCACTATGCTTGAAATAAAAAATATACCAATTTAAAATAAGATTAAAATAGGCAACAAGTGTGATTTATATCACTAAACATACCACAGCAAGCACATCTGATCATTTCTTCTAATTTGCCAATGCCCTAATGAAAGCAATAAAATGAATTTACAACTCATTTTATGGGGGGTTAATCATTACTAATTCTAATTTTTTATTTTGATTATAAATTAAATTATTAGGACTAAAAAAATTAGTGAGTACAAGTACAAGTACTCACTACTTGTACTTGTTGCTCCTCCATCTTAGATCCACACAAACCTTTTTTCCCCCTCTTCTGAGTTCATCGCTTGCATCCTACTTCTCTCATTTTTCTTATATCTATTTTTAAATTGTATAGCAGTGCTAATACTAATGCATTGGCATAGCATTAGTATTATTATTGTTATGATGCCTATTACAGCTTATCAGTTTCATCTTTGTGTACACACCGCTGTGACTCGCATCTGACCCAACTGGTTCTTTGTAATGACGGCATTCAATGTTGGCAATAAGCTTAGTTGAGCCACTTAAAAAGGTCACAAGTTTCCAATTTGTTTTAACTCTCACACAAGAAGTAAGAAAATGGGTCCACATGTGTTTCACAGTCACCCACCCACTTTTCAGGAAACTTCACAAGATTTGCATCAACTCGAAAGTGAAGCTGACCCTACTAACAAGGAAAAAAGGAACTAGATAGATAGACATGATGCCTTTCGAGCGCATGTGTCATCTCATCTCATCAAGGGAGTCCAATCTATTCAATTCAATTCAGTTCAGTTTATTTCTATAGCACCAATTCACAACACAAGTCATCTCAAGGCACTTACAGTTCACCAGAGCATACAGTCAAATTAATTCAAAGTGTTCTATCTAAGGAAAACCAGTTGATTGCATCGACTCATTGACTCCTTCACTACGCATGCTTGTAGCGACAGTGGAGAGGAAAAACTCCCTTTTAACAGGAAGAACCTCCAGCAGGACCAGGCTCAGTGTGAGCGGCCATCTGCCGAGGGGTTCAAGGAGACAGAAGCCGATGACATGAATGGATTCTGGTGTGCTATTGTTTGGTTGGAAAGAAAAGCTGCAGCCACACAGCCCTTTCTGGAACCAGTTTGACATCCCTGCTGTAGAGCCTTCCTTAGGGAGGGAGGAGCACACAGGACCAAAACAAACATACACCAGAATCCCAAGGAAAAAGTTTCATGTTTCATCACTTTTTTAAGGACAAAGGCCACGTGAGTAGTAAGAGGATACCAGGGGCTGAGCCAGGCCGTGATTCATTGCATTGTGTGGAAAACCTGGGTTAGGCAAGAGTTAAAGAATCTCAAAAGACAAGTTCAACAGCCTCACCATAGCTGTCAGATATTAATGGGAAAAAGTTAAGAGGAGGTAAAAGCAGGCTTTATTTGATTTATTTTTTACTGTAAAGTGGGAGAGTGTACACAGAACCAGCAGTGAAATGTTGATGCTTTAAAGAATGCCTCACCTGGAGCAGACATTTTGATTGGAAGAGAAATGGAGAAGAAAAAGTAGGTCACACTTCCTAGATCCCTCCCAGATTTTCCTTGGAAAGCTGGGGGGAAAAAAAAGTAGGGGAGTTGAGATATGAACTGTGGGAGAACTAAAGGGTGAGTACAGACTCCATACCATATGCAGATTAAAACCATGAGGCATGTTTATGAAGCCACATTTTCAAAACAAATCTGACTGCATTTAAATCCAGTTAGTAGATCCAGGAAAGTGGGCTTATATATAAATAAGGGGACAAAATTAAATTTGCTTACACAAAAAGGTAAGAAAAGAAAAAAAGTTTAAAAGGTAACAGTGGTACGGTTAAAAAAAAAAAACACACATCTGGTTGTGTTCTACTTAATTAACCTACTTACACACAGCTGTTTTTTTTATTTTTTTGCATATTTCAGGGGGGAAAAACTATCTGAAACATTTTGTACTCTTGTTGCTTTTTCTCTCTAAAAAAAAAGGTGAATGCTTCCAATTATTCAGTATTATTCTGACATGCAGGAAAATAAAAGATGCAAAACGACTTACTCGTGAATATAAACCCAGAAAAGAAGTGAAGAAGCAGATTCTTGGATGCAGAGTGATACTTGTAGATTTTTCCTCAAGCTGTTAGTCGTTGTTGTTGCCGCTGGTCTTTATCGGTCACTCCACCTCCCTTCCTCTCTCTCTCCTCCCCTTCCGTCAGTTTCTTTGGGCCTCCTTGTAGGGCGGTGTCCCACAACAGAGGGCGGAAACCAGTTTAATTCAGGCTATACCTGTTTTAATCATTTAGAATAACATGGGAGACACAGCCAGTCGATAAACGAGAGATGAAATATGTTATTTATAACTTATTATGGCACCGAGAAGGACGATGATGTCTTAAACATTTGTTTTCATAGGTCCGCGTGCGCACCTTTTACCGATATTAAGGTAATTTCAAAATAAAAGTATGTCAAGACTGAATACCTGACTGCCGCTTACAGAAATAATGAAAAATACAATAATTGAAATGCAACCTCGTAAAAACCAAGAACGGGATCGATCAATTTTAAAAAGTTATAACTATACAAATGAGTTTACAATATGCATTTTTTTCTTTGGAACTCAAACTACCACTTCAACAAATAGGGAATATATATATCACTTTCTGGTTGTTCACAAAAACAGTCAGTTTCTTCCTTCTTTCCTCCAAATAAAATAAAAACTATAAACAGTTTAGCTGTCATCGTATTTACAAACGGTAACTGCCTTTTTTTGTAATTGCATCATCCTCTAAAGCAATTAATTCAAACTAAATTTCTTAAAGTTTCATAAAGGTTTGACTGAACCTTAGATTTTATACTGTAGTTTTACTTTTATCAGACAAAGATAATGTAAGTTAACACACAACCAGTTTTTAATGAATTATGATGTTTACTCCCCTCTTCTTGCAAGGGGGGGATGGATAACTCCCCTAACCCCCCTGGAAATTACGCCCTTTTCACTCCTCAGAGATATTAAAGTTATAAGTTACAGTTTTACTTCGACAAAACGTTTGAGGGTGGTTACCGTAATATGTTTGTGGATGCGCTATAAAAGTAATCGAGCGGAGGGAGACTCAGCAATCAAATGCAGCTGCGGGGAGAGGTTCGTCACATCTGTCTGACACATAGAGGCATCAACCACCAGGGGTCGCCAAAGCGCCAGAAACAGAAACATTTCACAGCAAACAGAAATTCTCAGAGGATTTTGCAGCCTATTTCATTTAGATATTTAACCTGTCAATCATGTTTGACCAAATAAAAATGTTTTGACAAAATATAAATACTTAGCTATTGTTTTTAAGTAGCTTTTTAAGGGTCGTCACTTGAGTATTTATTTTGCTGAGTGTGTTTTACTTTGACTCACTATATTTAAACACATGTATCTGTAGGCTAATACCTTCTCATTACTTTCTCAAAACTAGCTTGTTACCTCTATGCATATTTATAACAAAATTAGGTTACCCCCCCTCCCTTCTGTTTCTGTTACACTGCAACTACAGATTATTTTGCAAATCGATTAATTATGTATTTAATAATCTATTCTTTAATAAAATAATTAGTTAATAATTGGACACCGAAAGTTCCTTAGAGAAAACTTTTTACGAAATTAAACCAGATGAAAATAAAGCGTTTCCACTTGACGAGTTCTGGATAGAGCATATTGACAGATGAAAAATGTTTTTATCTTAAATGCAAAATGTTTATGTATTTTCTTTTTTTTTTTTTTTGGTACAATTATAATTCTACTATTATTTTATAAAAAAAACTCTGGGTAACCAGAGTAAATATATATATATATATTATAATTTCAAAAAGATGAAATTGTCCAGTGAGCTGTCTCCAAACAAAATTTCTTTTTGTTTTACACTTGCGTAAACAAAACGACGAATAAAATCTGTCTAAAGTCTAAAAAAAAAAATTGCTGCTCTAAGTGGGTTGCTTTGTCAGCTAAAGGGACATTTTACAGTCTCTACACTCCAGTTAACGATGAATTGATTTCTAAATTAGTCAATGGTTATTTCAATAATTGATTAATCATAATTAATCTAATTAGTTGTTTCAATCCTAGTTCTGTTTAATATAGATACTGTCAGAAACTTTTATGTAGAACAACACTAGACTGAGTCAGTAGTTTTTATGTTATATTAACTAACTACGTTATTAGGTAGGGTAACCAGAGTAAAAGGCCGCCCAGAGTAAAAATGTGTCATAAATTTTTTTTCAGTTCGGATATTCTGATTGGATTCAGCAGGATTAGAATAAAGAGATTGCTGAATAAAGAGGAGAAATTACAACAACAAAAAACAGCAATTAACTGGTTTTGCACCAGCTGTCTGCTTGTATAGCACTTTATTTTGCCTTCCTGTTTTCAACATGTTTAATCAGTCATTCATAGACAGCTTGCACCTTGACATATCCTAAGTTGTGTTCTTTGCTACTGAGTAAAAGAGTGAAATAAAACATTTTTTCTGTGCATCAAACTTTTTTTTTTTACAATAGAGTTTCTTAAAGTTACGTTGTATCATTTACTTTTCTACTTAATTACAATGTAGAATTTGCAATTTTTTTTAGCATTTACTTAAATAAAGAGGCTCAAACTTTTCTTATTTACACAAGCATTTGTGCTTTTACTTAAATAAAGAATGTGAGTACTTTTGACACATCTTTGACTGATCATAGGTTTAAAAAACAAGACAAAGAAATACAGTTAATTAATGAATTAAGAATAAGAAAAATTAAAACTTACAAGTAAAGGCAATAAAAAAAATATATATTTTAGAAACAGATGGTTATCTTTTTTTCTCAATGGAGTCTCTAGGTGCTTCACTTCAGGAGGAACCTATATTCATCTTCTTTATCTTTGCTTCTGTGTACCCACTTTTTCACTAGTAAGGATATTTAAATATCTCAAATAATTCCGTGAATCTTGCTTTTATTAATTTTCACTTATTTTTATCACAATCTTTATGTGTTACATCAACATTAAATTTCACTTATCAGTGCGGTCCCTAGGATTGTATACTTGTTGTACCAACATTTTTTGTGATTAGTTCAGTCACAAGCAAAGGGTGGAAAGCATTACATCTATTGCTCTAAGTAACATGAATTGATAAATCACCAATCCTGCAACAGCTGGAGTTATTTACACTATTTATTTACTGGCTGTTATGCAGGGTACTTGCTGGCATGAAGCTTTAACAATATAAAAAAAAAAATCTGTTTTTTAAACCTAAAAAAAAAAGAAGAAAAGTTAAAAAAAAAATGAGATGCTTGAAGTGCATCTAACAGTTTTTTGTCTGGCTGTATATAACATAATAAAAACACAATCACTCCCCAGTTTAATAAGCTGCTACCTACTCCCTGTCAGCTGGCTGAAAGAAACCAGTTTTTCTTTGCTAAAAACAAGACAAATCGAATGATTGGGAAATATTTTCTGTGGAGGAAAAAAAAACAGTGTGGTAACTTTGTTGCAACTGTAGAAGGCTCATCCATGTATTTAGGTAACGTAGTTTACAACATTGTTTGGCTAGCTAAAAGCAACATGTATAATAAGAAGGCAACTGCATACTTTGAGTAGAGAGTACACTTAATTAACCCACTAATATTATCTTATAATATTACTAACCTTATTAATAATGAAATACAAGGGGGGAAATGCTCAATATTGGGGAACACAAAGATTTTAGCAGCTGTTCGTCCACAGCGGTAAGTTAAAGTGTAATATTTTTACAGTACAAGTTTAAAAAGCACCGGCCAAGTTGTCTTTTTTACCAGTTGAAATGAGACGGCTTTGGGGTATGTCCTTTAAAGGGCTCAAGTATTTTCACAATTTGAATCCTTATCTACCGACATCATATTTCTGCAAGAGATGCACATCAGACCGGGAAGGGAGGGGCTGCTGAGATGTAGCTGGACCACTCCGCTTTTTCCAAGTAAGGCCCGCGGGGGACAATCCTGATCCATTGCGGATTTATTACAGGCTACATATATTCATTTCATGTGACAATAGTTAATAGATATGGCCCTAATTGATGATCCAGACTTTTAAGTAAAAACATTTAATCTAATTCCTGATGTGGTCAACACAAACTTAATTCTAGTAGGTGATATAGTGGTGTTCTGGATGCTAATTTGGACAGATCAGCTCTGAAATCTAACCACTATGCTCCCCCTCTTTTTAAAACTCTCCACAAATCAAGTCCATCCATTTTCCGTCACACTTATTCCTTCTGGGGTCAGTCTTTCAGTAACTTGAAATAATTCTTGTAACCTTTAATACTAATTTTATATCTGTTTGCTTGGGTAATTGAAAGAAATGTCAGTGATGAAAGGAGCTATGCATAACAACAGACAATGAAAGGATTATTTGGTCTTATTTTACATTATCTTTTATGCCAACAGCATTATATGACACTACGCTAAAGATGTAATTATCCTAATACGCTGCCTCACTGTAATTTGTGCTCATGTCTGCAGAGAGGAGTATGTGTGCAGCTATAATTAGTTTAGTGTGGTACTTATAGGGAGCTGGGCTGGGGCGGAGTAATGAGGACACATACACAAACATGCACAAACAGGGCTCATTAAACAGATAAAAAAAACACACACATGGAAAGAAGTGGATCTAATGGGTTGGTAGTAATAAAGAAAAATAAAAAATACATGTAAATATTATACATCTAATGGGTTGGTAGTAATAAAGAAAAATAAAAAATACATGTAAATATTATACATTTAATATATATATATAAAACTTAAAGATTTAAAAAATCATCTTTCTTTCTTTTTTCTTTAGAAAAAAAAATGGCAACTGTGAATTAGTTCACCAAAATGGTGAATGTGAATCAATTGTTTTAAATGCAAAATATACACTAAATAAATTAACTCCATTAAAAATGTATAGCTTACATAACTGTTTCTTTGAAGTTCTTTGTATGTCAGTGTCTGTATTATTTCACTATAACTAACTCCAGTTGTTTGCTTTTCTTTATTTTTTATATCTTAAACAAAGTTAAAAAAAAATACAAAGAAAGAAAGAAAGAAAGAAAGAAAGAAAGAAAGAAAGAAAGAAAGAAAGAAAGAAAGAAAGAAAGAAAGAAAGAAAGAAAGACAAAGTAAAGGAAATTGCGCTTATTTTACACAAGTTGTAAGTAATTTATATATGTGTAAACCTCC